ATTTTAAGCATCATTTTCGTTCTCAGTGACCCAGAATTAGTAAAGTTTGACTACATTTATTTCAGAAGCATTTTGGCTGCAGAGCAGTGTAATTATTTTATATTCAGTATGATACTTAATTGTGAGTAAACCAAAAGACAGATTGCTTGAATATAAGAACTATTGATTGCCAGCAGAAGGCACACTTATCAGCTAACTTTCTGAAGAGCAGGAATATGAAACTACTCTTCTGTATTGCGCTGATGACACTGGGAGAGTGACAAATAGCTCTTCTACTCAAGCATGAATGGATGGTATTGAATCAAACTTGCCACATCTTGGGTCAAATTCTACTTGCCTCATTCACATGAGCAGGGACATAGAAATCAATGGGAATACTTGAATAAGGCAAGCAGGGTCTGGTTCTTAATAGATGCTTTATGATTTTTGAAGTCATAGATAGCAATATTTTTATCCTGCTTAGATACTATGGTGATAGATGATTTACTAATACCGATAACTATTCTCTGTTTCCAGTTTGCTACTCTTAGTGCACAAGGAAAAACAAGAGGCCATGCATCTAGGGCCGGCTCCAGGCATCAGCCTGGCAAGCAGGTGCTTGGGGCGGCCACTCCGGAGAGAGGCAGCACGTCCAGCTATTCGGCGGCAATTCGGCGGACGGTCCCTCACTCCCGCTGGGAGCGAAGAACCTCTCGCCGAATTGCCGCCGCAGATTACGATCGCGGCTTTTTTTTTTTGGCTGCTTGGGGCGGCCACAACCCTGGAGCCGGCCCTGCATGCATCACCTCCTTCTGTATGGAAAGAAATGTCCATAAAGAGCTATCAGTGGTGGCCAAACTATTCCTGTTACGCCTCCCCCCCTTACCAGTAATGGAATCTGTCTGTGACCTCCCCCCACAACCCCATTACAGTACAGTTGGCTCAGCAGAAGAATTTGGGCTGAAGGCGGAGCTGGGGCCGGAGGAGGAGCCGGGGCTAGAGGTGGAACTGGCCTGGGGGTGGAGAGGGAAGGAGGGCAGAGCTGGGCTGGGGCCGGAGAGAGCTTTGGATGGGGTGGGAGCTGGGTAAGGGGTGGAATGGTGCTCCGACTGGGACCAGAGCTGGACTGGGGGTGGAGTGGAGTATGACTGGGAACAGGGCTGGGAGGTGCTCCCAACATGAGGACTGGCCCGGGCCCCGCCACGCACCCCCTGAACATTTCTCCATGACACTCTCAGGGGCACGCCCCATAATTTGGGGACTACTGAGCTAGACTGTGACTTTGCTAAAAGCCCTGTGTAAAGGGCAGTGCAGAACCAGATTTTGCCTCACTGAGCATCCGTGGTGTCCCCTTACACCAAGGGGAAATTATCTGCACCAGACCTATACCTGGCAGATTCCTTCCCTCTCCACTCTAGATCAGCTGTACTGGGGGATGCACTGGGGGAGAGGCTCTGCCCTCTTCTTGCCCATCTCTACCCACTTGCCCAGAAAGGGTGACAGCGGCCCTATGGAAGGTTCTCCCACCCTCCCCCTGCACTGCTACTGGCATTACGGATATGCCAAGGAGTAAGGATGCACCTTGTGCCCCCTGCTCCCCTGAGCAAGTGTCTAGCCAGCATCATGCCTATGCCTATAATACCAGTTTTGTGCTTCAATAGGAAAAAGCCTTTTTAGATATTTGAGCAATAGGATTACAAAAATATATATTCCACATTCTCACAGCTGACCAAGAGTGATATGTGAAGAAGAAATATCATTTGTCACAGGGGAACAAAGGCATATAAGCATGTAATGCAACACTGTCTAGCCAGCTGAATACAGAGTTTAGTGAGATGAAAATAGTTTTCTATCACTGAGAGTAATTTTTTACAGAAGGTATTATAGCAATTGGTCAACTAGAACAATAAGGTCTTCCTCTGAAGACAGCAATTAACCTATTATTTTAGCTGACCCTTTGAACTTGTGCTCTGTAAATGAGAATGTGATTAGTTAACGAGTCACAAAACAGCCAAAACTTTCATTGCCATCAAACCAAAGCTCTGTTCATTCTGAATCTTGCTGTATGGACATTTTAGTAAAAGAGCCATTGATGGAACTGATGTTAAAAGAGCTATTGTAGTAGGATGCATATTTGAAACTGAGTACAGTACAGTTAGCCTTTTGCATTGACATTTGTTGGAAGCATTGCCATGCTGTTTTCCATTTGAATAACAAAAAACATTTTTTTTCATAATTTTTTGCCACAGTGGAAAAAGACAGAGAGGGAGAAAAACAGAGGGAAAGGGAGGATGAAGCAGCAAAGTTGATTTAAAGTATCACATGAAAAAATAAGATTTCCCATCTTGATAAAATCTTCTTTTGGGAAAGTCTAAGTCTGGATACAAATTGATGCTCTATTAATCAGTAACATTACTAATACAGTGTAAGGAGTGTGTATGGATGGATGCAATCAAGTGAGCTATAACTGAAATTTGTTGTAGGTGGTGGGAGGCGGGGGAAGTGTTTCTAGAATCAGAAATACTTAAAATTAGTGACCTTTTATCAGAAAATATTTTTTTTTGTTTTTACCTGTTGACAAATAAGCAGCTGGTTTCTTCCTTTAGAATTGTCTTCCTTTAGTTCAGTTGTTACTATGCCATGAATGTATCCACCTATTCAGCACAGAACAGAGAGCATTAAGGTCCTGATCTTGTAGGCACTTATGCATATGCTTAACTTTAAACATGTGAGTACTCCCACTGACTGTAGCATAATCAGCAATTTAAATTGTAGTGTTCTTAATGAACCCTAAACATAATTATAGGTAGCTGAGCTGTAATAAAGCTTAGCTTCTCATTTAACAAAGCTTCTTGTTGAGCTTTGTAACAAGAAATATTGTAGTTTATGACTTAAATCTGTTAAATTAAACCAAGTTCCGTTTACACCATGTGTTGCTTGGGGCCTGGAGTGGTAGCTATGCTTTAATTTTGTTTTCTTGACTAAGCAGTTAAATAGTAAATACTGTTATATTAGGAACATCATTGACTGAACCTGGTTCTCTCTCCAGCCCTTTGCATAGTCAATAATACCAGGGCATAGCGTGTAATCCATTACTATTCTGATTAGTAGTGTTTTGTGCTCACTCTGTATTCACTTAGCACTGCTGTAAAGGACTACAAAAGTTACAGAGCCACAGAGAATCATGTGGTAAACAGTCTCCTTTGCTGAAAATACACAGATGAGTCTAAAGGTGGAAAAGCAGGTAGAGTGAATGAGCAGCCTTTTGCATCCCTGAGATTGGAGTTAAGACATCTAACAAAATGTCTAATTAATAGCCATTATGACAGCTAAATATGTGTGGAAAATGTTAGCATTAAACTAGATAAGGGACATACAGCCTACCTCAGCTGTTATCTTTTCAGATTAATGATCAAGCATACTGGCAATTAAAAGGGGTACATCAGAAAGCAGGAGTGATCTAATAAATGAAATATGGTTTTTGACAACAGAGTTAGGGTGTGAATATAGTATTAGCATGGATTCCAGCACATGCAGTGATACCTGATAGTAAAGTGGTGAATAAAGAAACAAAAAATGCTTTAAAAATGGAGAAATTGATATAAAGGTTCCTTTGAGTAAGCAGGAATTTAAAAGTTTAGTTAAAAAGCCTTAAAAAAGAATAGCGGAAATTGTGGACTAAGGAGAAAAGAGGAAGAAGATTCTGTGAAGTATGCCACAAAATAGAGGATAATGTGTGGCTCCAAAGTTATGAAAGCATCAGTGAGGTGCCCATATTTAGACTGTTAACTGGTCACTGTGGTTTGAATAATTTATATTTATTGAATAGACACAAAGATGGGTTATTAACACATGTAAGGTTAAAGAACCAGCTGATCCCTTGATATGGGAATGCAAGAGAGTTCCCACGAAAGAAAGGATCTTTATGAAGAATGTAGAGCAGTTCTCAGACTTCACTGCACCACAACCCTCTTTTGACAACAAAATTACTACATGGGAAAGGGGGCTGGAGCTTGAGCCCCGCTGCCCTGGGGGCTGGGGTGGGTTTAGGCTTCCGCCCCGGTCCCAGCAAGTCTAATGCTGGCCCTGACGACCCCATTAAAATGGGGTCGTGACCCACTTTGGGGTCCTAACCCACACTTTGAGAATCACTTAACATGACAGAACATATTATGAGGGGTTCCGTGAGAGTACTGGGAAGGTGGGGTGACATTAAAAAGCTCTTTGTTTCTAGAGGATATACAGCAGGGTAAGAGAGTGTAGTGCCATAAATGTACAAGGTATATTGTATGTGGTGATTACAGACTCAGCCATAAAGAATAAAAAGAATCACATCCAATATATTTATGAAAGAAACATAGTGGGTGAGGTAATATCTTTTATTAGACCAACTTCTATTGGCAAAAGGGACAACCTCTTCAGCTTCACAGAGCTCTTCTTTAGGTCTGGAAAAGGAAATTAGACTGTCAAAGCTCATTATGAGGGGGCAGAATGTTTAGCATAATGATTTCAGATATGTTGTTGGGCACCACTTAAAATGAAGTGGGCAGTTAACACCTCTGCAGTCATTGGACAATGGAGGGTTAGTAGGTAGCAGGGTGTGTTACAAGTTGTAATGGGCCATAAAACCAGTGCCTATTACATCCAATATTTTTTAGTCTCCAGCAGAGTTATGAATTTAAGTTCCCAGGCCCATCTTTTGAAAGTGTGATGCAGGTACAGAAGCTGCTCCAATAAAAGATATTATCTCACCCACCTTATTTCTCTCATCCTGGGACTAAGCCCTAGTCTACACTACACAGTTAGGTCGACATAAGGCAGTCTATTTCATATCTCATCCTCAGTGGAAAACTTACATGGTAACTCTGAACATAAAAATAACACTTCTGATCAATTTAAAATGCAAAGGGAAACAATTTATTTTCATTTGGCTACTATATTTCTTATTTTAGGCTCGGACTGTAAAACCATTCAAATCTGTACAGAATATAACAAGCTCAAACAAAATGAAATAGAATATCTGCCAAATATCTCATCTGATGTGACTATTACCTATTTGCTCTCTCTGCCTTTCTGTCTTGTGCACAAGTTAGTATGTAACACAAAAGGAGAATGTGACATGCAGGGAAACAGTGGACTGTATGCACAGTGAGGGTGATGTTAGACCACATGGTACTTCAGGGGGGACTGAAGAATGAAGAGCCTGCAATAAGCATTAACTCTCCTGAACAAGGCGTATATTGCCTCTTCCTCACTGCTGCTCGCATGACCTTACCAGCACTCCTCCATTACAGCAGGCACTCCCATAGCAAATACCTTCCTCTTTGTCCATCTCTCCTTTCTTGCACTATTGTTTTGTTATATTCCTTTCCCCTTGATGCATATCTGGGGGGAAAAAAAAGACAATCATCATTTTACAGGAATATGTGAAGAGCACCTAAAAGTCTCTAGGAAAAGCTTAAAATATCACATCTTATAATTTACTGGTTTGTATATTGCAGAAGAGCCCTATTGAGGATCCTGGCCTCATCATACTGGGTATTGTATGAACACATACTTTCTTGTAAAGCATCACAGGTATGCATGGCACTTTACAGGACAGTAAAATACAGATGTTTGCACTGACTAGGTTGCACTACAAAGCCTGCCACAAAGAACTCGCTGCAGGATCAAGACTTACAGTTAGAAGTCACATGCATGATAGAAGATGAGACAGTGAGAGGCCTGAGGAGGGTTGCCACAAGTTAAGTTTGTTGTACTCCTTGTAGCATATGCATCGTATCGGGCCCTTTTGTGTCACAGAGCAATTTCATTTCCCGACTCTTGGTACCTCACATGGCTCAGCCCTGCTGCCCCTGGATGTTACTTGCACACTAGGTGCTGCAACAAGCAGATCTGCTGATGCAGATGATGGGTCAGATGAAAACCCAGGATGAAGTTAGGCCACATGCATGACCCTAGGTCCCTCTTCCTCCTTGTACAGCCATCATGTGAGGAAGCGAGTGTGTCCCAGGCAGGATGAGTCCGTATCACTGTCCTGTTACAAGGTGACTCTGAGGCCCAGATTGATCAAGGGTGATTCCAGTGGGAGAACACTTCAACCTCCCCGGACAGTCAATAACAGACCTAAAAGTAGCAATTCTTCAACAAAAAAACTTCAAAAACAGACTCCAACAAGAAACTGCAGAACTGGAATTAATTTGCAAACTGGACACCATCAAATTAGGCCTGCACAAAGACTGGGCGTGGATGGGTCATTACAAGAACTAAAAACTACGTTTCCTATGCTAATTTTCCCCTACTGTTACTCACACCTTCTTGTCAACTGTTTGAAATGGGCCCTCCTGATCACCGCTACAAAAGTGATTCTTCCTCTTGTTGATAATAGCCCACTTTAATTGAATTGTCTCATTAGAATTGGTAAGGCAACCCCCATCTTTTCATGTACTATGTATACAAATAACTTCCTATTGTATTTTCCACTCCATGCATCGGATGAAGTGGGTTTTAGCCCACAAAAGTTTACGCCCAAATAAATGTGTTAGTCTCCAAGGTGCCACAAGGACTCCTCGTTGTTTGTACCTCAGTATTGTGACACTAGCACAGGTTTCCCTCGTCTACCAAGGCCTACGTGAGTGATCCCATGGCGTCCGTGGCTGAGCTGGGGACCAGCAGTAACCCACTCTCAGGGGAGCGGGTGCCCCCCAAGAACCCCAAGTCTCGGAGTCCCACGAGGAGGAGACGGAGATGTCGTTACCAGCATGACAGGGGAGGAGGGCAGCCGCAGGTGTGACCCCACGGCCCGGCCGACCCCAGAGCCGAGTCCATCTTCTCGTGAGTCCTTACGGGCCAGCCAGCAGGGGACGTGGTTTGGGGACAGTTGGGGTTGAGAAAACAGGTGGGGAATTGCCCCTCCCCCCTTTCCAGAGCCTCAGGCTCGCCTGAGCCCAAGCCCGAGCTCCAGGCCCCTGTCTCAGGCTCGCCCGAGCTCCAGCCTACGAGCTTTCCTCCCCCCTCCCCTCGCAACCGCCTTGCCCGTAACTCAATCCCGACCCCCCGCGCAGGCGCAATGGCGCGCGGCCGCCATCTTGGCCGGGGGCGGGGCGAGCGGGTCTGGGGGGGAGGGGGGGAGTCTCCCAGTCCGGACTCGGGACTTTTGAAAAGCTCCGGAGCGGGGGGCCGCGGGCTCCGGGGCTGAGCCGCCGCCTGAGGCCGGGACCGAGCCGACCGGCGCCTGCTTCTCTCCGGCGGGGCAGCGCCGGGGCTTCGGCGTCCAGCGGGTGAGGTGGGTTGGTGCCGGGGGGAGCGGGCGCCCCTCGCCAGGGTTGGGCTGAGGGGGCGCCGCGTACCCCGCCCCCGGTGAGCGGGGGGCGCTGAGGGGGGGTCACTGCGCACGGGCGCGGCGTGGAGAGGGGGTGACTGGGGGGGTCGTTGCGCGCGCCCGCCCGCCCGTGAGGAAAATGGGGGTCGCCACGCGAGGGGCATGGGGGGAAGGGGTGACAGCGGGGGAGTAGGGGGGTCATCTTGAGCGCGCGGGGGGGATCACAGGGGGTGACTGGGGGGTAGAGGGGAGTTACTGAGCGCGGGGGAGTCACCGCACGGGGGGAGATAGAGGGGTAACTGCGGGGGAATAGCGGGGTTCAGTTTGAGCGCGCGGGGGGGGTCACTGCGTGGGGGGGGGTAGAGGGGGTGACTGGGGGGGGTTGGCAGAGGGAGGGGGCCCTGTGTCTGTCTCTGTCTCTCCTCCCCCTGTTCAGGAAGCTGGGTCCCTCTCCCCTTCCCCAGTTGGCAGAAGTGCCATGCTGCTTCCTTCCCCCTCCAGACAGACCCTTCACGGGCACAGT